TGGGTACTGTAAGTCTTTGCACATTAGATTTACTTTCCGAACGATATAAGAGAGCTAAGAGTAATAAAAACTATAGAAATAAAGTGAAGAATATAAAAAAAAATTCTTCGTATTTAATATGAAAATTCAAAATATTTTTTAATAAAGTCTACTCATTAATTCTGTTACTGGCTGTTTACTTACATTAAAAAAAAACATCAATTTGAATTTCGAACTTCTACTTCTACGATAAAAAAATAAGACTTCTTCCCCGCCATTGTTGTATGTTCTTTGTTTAGAAATTATTTGTTTTGAAAATAGAGTGGGAGACTAAAGAGAATGGGATTTGCAGTAATTGCACTGTACAAAGAAGGTAAGGAGCCAGCGGACATTTTTGATACATTGAAAAAGTTAGGCCGTTAATGCAGTCAACGCCAGAATTCGTCGAAATCCCATAAAAATGCAGAAAATCCTTGCCAGAGAAATGAGAATACCATCGAAGACACTTTCTCGGATTATTAAACAAGACTTAGGTCTAGATGCTTACCAGAGATACACAGGACAGACCTTAAATCAGGCATTAAAATAAAAGAGTCGAAAGATCAAAAACAGCTGTTACTTCAAAAACACAGAAAAAATCCCTTTTCCGATGAAAAAAAATTTCAATCAAGGACAACAAACAAATTGATCGAGTGTATGCACACAACTCTAAAGAAGCTGCCGAGGTAGTGGCCTAAATTTGGTGGGGTGTCTCCTACCAAGGGGTAAAAAAACTCATTTGTTGCGAAAAAGGAGTTAAAACTTCAGCCAAAGTGTATCAAGATACCGTGTTAGAACAATACCTTATTCAAAAACGAAGTGTGGATATTCCAACAGGATTCAGCCCCGGGTCATAAGGCGCGCAAGACCCAAATTTGGCTTGAGCAAAATGTTCCAGACTTCATAGAAGTTGATGATTGGCCTTCGGCTAGTCCGGCTAACCTTTTGACTATAAATTGTGGTCTGTGCTAGAAGACATGGCCTGCTCTAAGCAACACCCAAATATTGAGTCATTCAATAAATCTTTGGAGGCAGCAGTGACCAAGTTTCAATGGAAGCCGTTCGTAAATTCATCGACGAAAGGCCCGACCGACATTGAATAACTAGTTTAGTACCTTAACATATCATTTTCACTCTACATAATCACACATAAAAACTTAAAAAAAAAAAAATTATTAGAAATTATCGAATATTTTCTTTGTAACAGAACTTATAGCTAGACTAGGTATTTATATTAACTAAAGTACGTAGGTCCCATTTTGTTCGATAAGTTTTTACCATCTTGTAGGTAGGGACATAATCCAATTGCTATAGAAATTTTGGAGCTTTTGATCTTAAAACCGCGACAAGTGGTTTTGACAGTCCTCGCGTGATGTTACCTTGACGCTGCTTAAAGAATTCTGAAGAGACCGAAACAGGTAAAAATCTGAAGGTGCAAGGACTGCAAGGTCAAGACTATACAGCGGATACATTAACGCCTCCCAGCCAAACTCTAATTTTTGGTGAGTGGCAAAAGATATAAGAACTGCACCCTTTGTATTGATACTTCTGGCCGCTTTCTCTCAACTTCTTGATTTAATCTCATCAGTTGTTCGCAGTAAAGTTCAAAATAGATGGCAGTGGCGGATATACCAGCAGGCTGAGTAGGCCTAGGACGGCAAATTTGGTCCATTTTTTTATATATTGTTATGTATATTATTTATACACTTTATTGCACAACATAGTAAGATATACACTATGTGCAATAGAACAGCGATATTTTCCGTACTGAACTCTCTTACGAACGTAATCCGTATATGAAAGATCTCTTAACGCTCTGTAAAATATAGGTATTCCAATAGCGTTTCGATATTATAATTTCAATTCAATAATTATATGACATACATATTTTACATTTAAATATTTATTTTCTACTAGGTACTTATGTATTTACGTAGTCGTTTTGAGTTGCGGCGCGGGAACAAATGGAAATGAATCATTATAAAGTCTATCTCTGTTCCTGCGAAAATATAATTTGGAGAACTTTTATCCAAACTTCATGCTTTGTTTTTATGAACATCTTAATACTACATTGTAGAATGCAATAAAATAAATAAACATGGATATACCATTTCACATAGCCCTATTATCGTCATGAGTTCTATTACGTCTCCACTGTAGGGTCTTCGTTATGGATGGTTAAAGACGATGAGCCATGACACTCCATACGGGCCTTATTCAGATTGGATGATTCTCGTATTAATGACTGCAGACGCAGCCAACGGCTCCATGACTCTATGGATTGCGAAAGGTCATGATCTCAAATCCCATCTCATAGTACCAGGGATAGGTAAAGTGAATTTTTTAAGCATTTTTTATTCAGAATATTTTCCAGTGCAGCATTGTGAATGTAAAATTGATAAAACATAATAACAACGTGTAAATATTTTTAAGGCGTACCTTACCTCACCTTATAATTGGTGCATACTGCTGTTTTTGCTCGATACTATGTACTCTGCACTAATTCGTGGGTTGTAAAAATAATCTAGAAACCGATAAAACCATCCCCTAATTCAGAATCATACTAATGACGGCAAAAAGCCTATGTAATGAGGATTGTAGAGCTCTAATCATAAAGTTATAATTGGATTCATAGAATAAATGTAATAAATATGATAGTGACAATGTATTGAATTTCTCCTTCACTCATTTTGTCAGTAAAACAAATAAAAATTACACATTTTCCTAATTTGAATTCAGAGGAAAGACTTTTTCCCCAACCTAATAGAGGAAATGCATGTTTCATTTTACAACCCAGAGCTACTACATTGTCCCTATTCTACAGGATGTTTGGAAATACATGTATAATCCCGAAACATGGCCGTACAATCTAGCACAAATAACACAATTAATATGTCAAAAAACAATTTCACGTAAATTGAGAAATTTTTAATTAACCGGCGTACTCGCTCTCTCTCTCTCACTCTCTCTCGATTTCTAGAATTTACTTTGATGTCGCCGACGTGCGCATTCGACTTTGAGTATACTTGTAATTAAAACAATTTAAACAGGTACATACCTAGAGGCAGCATTCTAATCACTCTTTCAGCTCTCACTTGTCAACATTACCTACACTTCACCTCCACTTTATCAGTCCAGAGTCTCGATATGCCGGCCACCGCATAAAACACACATCTCCATTCCACTCGACACAGACCGTGTTACTCTCGACGTAAAATCATACCCTCTGTCTCAATGGAATAGGTGTTCGGCCGGCCTTCCTGTGGCACACTATGGAATGAACCAGTTGTATGTAACCGATTCACAAGTGCCGCGAAGCACCAGTAAGAGGGAAGACGTCGAGGGTTTTCAGATCTTCCTGACATATGTCGCTCGTCATAACGAGAGGCGAGACGCAGCAAGATTACCGTCACAAGCACCAACACACATTATCATCTCATAATATTAGGCATTTAAATACAAACTCATTGCACTGACCGCACACAAACACAACACACGGGTAAACAGAACGAGTATGAAAAACAAATCAAAAGTCCCGAAAGAACGAAAACGTAAGTTGACCTTCTAAATTCTGAAAACTCACAAGTACGCCGATGAAAGTCTCGGACGCGACTGAAGCTATGACCAAAACTACATAAGTAATTATTGCAACTCGAACACAAATGTACCTAAATCAAAAGTGCACCGATTTAGGGTTCCGCGTCATAAAATTCTGTGTTAGGGAACCTACCTAACAAAAAATCGTTATTTTTTTTTATTTAATTAAACAATGAAATTTCAAAGTAACTTATTATATTATTTTTTTACTGACGAAACTGATAATTAGGCCGTTTACTTATTATTACTATTTTATTTACACTTTTTACGGCTACAAAAGAAAAAAGGCCATAATATTATTTAAGACCAAGTCATTAACAAAATTATATGGCATAAAAAATATATTGATTAAATTAGAAAAGAAAAGAAATATTATTTATTATTAGACCTTTCCATTACAAATAACCTTTATTTAATTTATCAACTAAGAATAAGCGAGATATTTAGATTATTAATATTATTGTATAAGTCCGTATTTTATTGTTTCGTGAAAAAAACACTGCTTTATGAAAAAAATAACAAAACTTCAAAACAATTAATCTACAGAACCTTACTGACACATCAGAAACCCTAGTTTCTCAATACACATCGTCGTCGATTTTATGTCTCTGTCGCTCCTTCTTGCATAGACTAATGTGAGCAATAGTGCAGATATCTTATTCAATCAAAGTATTTGCAATTTCTTTTTTAATTTGACTGTATACTAAGAGAAGTTTTCTTAAAATAGTTTTTGAAACACCGTTAATCACAAGATTTGTGTTCTTTTATGGTTAAAAGTCATTTACTACTAACTTTTTCTTTGTTTTTGAAATAATAAATTACTCTCGGATGCATATTTGTTCTAGGCATTTATCTTTAGATTTATTTAACTTCTGTTATTTTTTAAACTAGTTCGGCACATGAAGTCGATGACCAAATACAACACAACAGCTGTTTTTAGGGTTGTCAGCGTACAGTTTTATTTCAAAGAAAAATATCTAGGTCATGTGCTGGGTTTCAGACTTAGTGATCATTTTTCTGGGTTCTATTCATCATACCGTATGTGCAATATTCGGGATTATACAGGTATTACCAAACACGCTGTATATATATAACATCAAGCTTTAGAACACTTGCACATTTTAGTCACAGCTCTCTGTCTGTTATCCCAAATAAGTTTTAATTATATATTAATTAACTGTATTTTTACTATTTTTTTCCAATTTCATATCTTTTTTTAATTAAATAAAATTCCATTCAGTAAAGGCTTCATAATATGATAGTAAAATCAGTTTTTTTTTTATCATTCACACTCCATTATACAATATATATTAGGGTGTTTTATCTAAGAATTTAATTATCAAACTAATAAATACAAAAACAAAATATGATTAACATAGATTGTAAAAATAAGAAAATCACAATTATGTACTATGGCTATATTTCTCATTAAAAACACTTCAATAATGTGACAATGAAACCACTCGCTAGCATTTACAAAATATTATTTAGCATATATTATTGCAAAACTAAGCCAATTTTATTAGGTGTCATATTAGGACATCTCCAATTATATAAATAATATTGCAAATTACCATCACCAATACCAAATTTCAAAGGCTCCAAAAACTCTTTGTTATCCATCAAATCCAGGGCATTAAAGACATCAAATCCTGAATTTTTGGCAGTAATTAATGCATCTAGCATCAAATCTGTCCATGGAGTTTTAGTTGAAACATTGTAAAAGGAATATGCAGCTTTCAATGTTTTATGTACAGGATGATACACAACAGTAGAGGGTAAAGTGTAATAACTTACAAAATCAGTAATAATTCCTTCTGATTCAACAACAAAGCTGTCAATAATACCACCTTGAGGAAGAAACCAATGTTTAAAATCTTCTTCAGAAAATATAGGTGCCAAATCAAACTTTTTCAAATAATTGTTTAGTAATATAACAACTCTTTCACTGTCTTGAGGTTCCATTTTACGGAAACCCTGAGTTTTAGGATGGTCTGGAAGTTTAAACAATTTAAGAGTTCTTTGCATAGTCATATTCCTCGACAAATGGCTAAATTTTATATCAATCAGCTTTTTAGGATTCAATGACCTGTGCCAATATCGACATGTAGCAATTGGTTTTGGCAGCACTATACCTGCAGTATAGACTCCTTGAAAAATACCTGTTAAATTAACTCTGCGAGTAATTTCTCTGATGAGAACAGGGGCTACTCTCTTAGCACGTAATTTTTTATGAACACAAAGAAAATTAATTTCAACCACAGTCTGTACATGGTTATATATTTTCAATTCTGCTGGAATAGCAGATATAAATCCAACAAGTCGACCTGATTTCACCACACGTACCCCACAATGCCATTCCATTTTCCAACCAGGAGGCTGCAGAGCCCATTTGAGGAAATCAGTTTGATAGTCAAATCGAAACATACAGTCATCATCTTCAACATAGTTCTCATTCAATAATGTGTATAGTTCTTTCAATACAAGAGGTTCATTCAAATTTAAAGTATCCCATTGAAACCCATCAGGTAAAGTGTAAGGTTCAGCTCTAATGTCGTCGGCAGATTTAGGTGGCTCTATTGGTTCATTAGATACAATTTTTTCATCCATTTTTGGAACAGGCTGTGTTGACCAAAATTGATAAGATTTGTGTAAAGCTTCTTCAGTTGTTTTAGCGGGTTTTTGTTGCAAATTCAATGCATCCATTGCTATTTTCAAATCTTTAAGAGAAATGTTCTGTTGAACATCTCCAGCATTTGGCAAAGATACTACCAAGCTATCGGATGGTGCCGAAACTCCATGATCACCGTCGCCTCCACGTTTTTTCTTATTTTTATTCTTTTTCTTTGTGTGCTTTTCGTCATTTTCATTTTGAATATCATTAGAGGGCTTTTCCATTGCTCTATATAATTTTTTGTATGTGCTAGCACGATGAATTCAAAATGAGACTTGACCATAGACTTAAGACTTGACAATTCAATGACACAGAACGAAGAGTAAAGTTAAAATTATCAAAAAAAGCTAAATGACTCCATAGAGAAAAAAAAATATAATGAAGGTTCTACTTGTTAAAAGTTATGAAGAAGAAATTTTTATCTCTTCATAAATAAAACTCTTTAAACGATCTTTCTGTACGTCGCACAAAGGCCATGCAGGCACAATACACGATACAAACAAAACATAATTATCACAGATCTTTATTATTAGGTACTCATCATTAAATTTGATTAAGTCCACCACCGAAAGAAGCTTTAAACCTTATTACATTAACCAATTTCAAGGGCTCGATCGACCGGTTGGGCGTGTCCCTCTAGTTAATGTGGCGCTTATTACTCCACCCGAGAAATTGGACACTAAAGCTCTTATTACACTATCTATTATACTATTTCTAGGGTCCCTTGCCCTGACGATTGGGTAGTATCTAGGGTGACTGACGCGTCCCTATCTTCCTTACGCCCTGACGACTAAGTAATGATATAGTAAAGGAGATCAATCCATAGTTTTTTTTATATGCTCAAACATCTCGATAAGTTTGCCTTTTATATTCATTCGGATTATATAAAACAATGATATAATTAAAATATATATTAGTAATTAAGATTACAAATTATATAACTTGTTAATTTAAAAAATGATGTAGAAAATGAAGTAAATTTTAATATAATTGGCAGTGGCGGACTAGCCCCGTCAGGGACCCGGGCGACATCAGCTTCTGTGACGTCACACGCCGGTAAACAGAACCTGTCATTAGTTGCTACGATATCCAATGAAGAAGTAATTTAAAAAATATTAGTTCGTGAAATCAAACTAGATGTCGCTACGGTACTTTCTTGATTTCTCTATGACAAAACTTTCGGTTTTCTTTCATGTATGAAAGTTAAATAATTTTCAAAACTCATATTCTATTTGCACTCTTTCGTATTTGTATTGATATCTAAGTTTTGAACATTTCAAATTTCAGTTTTTTTAATATGTTAGTTAAAAGGAACGGAGATTATTATCTTTGGTCCATTCGTTTCCTGCAAAAATCAACTTTTGCTAGAGTCGCCATCTAGTGTAGGGGCTTTTTTAGTGCTTTCGTTTTTTTAAATACTTCCTCATTCTCTTCGCGTAGGTCATATATCTATCCTGTCTTATTTAATATCTTTTAAAATTAATGTATAATCACCACTAATATAGCTTCAAACAAAGATATATATAACATACTTAAAATAAAGAAGCTTTTTTGTCAAAAATCTTATTTTTTAAAATAAATTTTACATTAATTGTCAGGTTTCTGTGTTACACCGGATTTAATTATTTTAAAACATTCTACAACGTATTAGCATCCTAATAGTAAAAAACACGTTTATAACTCAATCACTGCATTTTCTACACACTCGTGAAGATAACACTCACGGTGCTACTTATAAACAAGGTTTAGTGTCGGAGTAAATTTACGCTAAAATTGCAATTTTAGTATTAGTCCATATTCATATTACACAGAGAAGCAAATCTACTACCTTCTAGGAGCAAAAATTACTTCCTTAGAACCTCGTACTAGGTTAACTTTTGTTAAGTCTCTGTTGAGATAATATGAATTTTGATTGAACAGTCTCAGCGTAAAACTCCAATGCTAAACCTTGTTTATAAATAGCACTCTCAGAATATGTTATTTATTTTATTTTTTTGGGTTGGTTTATTTGTGGCGATAAATGTAACAAAAAGAACCTGTTAACATAATTTATTTGCAACTTTTTATTAATACCTTAAAAGTTCGAAATGTCCACCTCTCTATAGTAGGCACATAGTCGCACGAAATACAATTTGTGTCGCACTCTATCTTATTCGGGTCTTTGTGAATATCATTTGCACAGTTTATTATACGGATTCGCAAATCGTCTTCGCTATTAATAGGTGTGCTTGCTGTACACTTTTTGTTTAATTGTCCCCCGGAGTAAATAGTCCAGGGACGGTATATCGGGTGATCGCGCTGGCCACCCTACAGGTGCTTGCCAGCTGATCCATTGACATGGGTAATTTTCATTTAAAAATGATCTTACTTTCCTAGCGTAGTGTGCAGAACATACATCCTTTTGTATATACACCCTTCGACACCAAGCCAGTGGTACATCCTCCAATAACTCGGGAAGCTCATCCAACAAAAGACTTAAAAACCTTTCACCTGTCAGCGTTCCCGTTAAAACAACTTGTCCAATTAGCATATCATCGACAATACCAGCCCAGACATTTATTGGGAACCAAATTTGAAATGTCGATGTTCGCTTTAAAGCGATTTTCACCTTTGGGGCACCACCTATACAAATTACGGCAGTTTGTAATGCAGTCTCTTGTAAAGGTAGCTTCGTCCATCCACAAAATCTTTTTTGGAAAGTCAGGGTTTGCTCTAGTTTCTGACTGAATCCAGGTAGACATCACGCACCTTTGACGCCAGTCCACGTCTTCATGTATGATGCTGCACCCTTTGATAGTGATAAGGATGTAGCCCGTCTCTTCTTAAAATGCGTCATGCCGTTTTTTTGGGATATTCCGTAACGCAGCGCCAGACGTCTAGTACTAATAGTTGGATCAGCAAACTAATCGTATAATACTACTTGTTCCATCGCCCCTTCAGTATTTATTGCAGGCTCGAGACGATCTTCTGTGAACTTCCTGGAAGTTGCGGGCAGAAGGCACCGGTTACCTGGTAGGAAAGGCACTCGTGCAAGTTGCGCGCGTAGCCCTGGCGCTTCCTCGTGTCATTCCATAATTAAAATGAATATGAGCAATGGGTGCCGGGGGAAATTTACTCAAACGCAGCATCGCGTAGAACTTTCGGAATACACGTTGTAACAGCGAAAACGAAACACAATTAGCAGCGGTGAATAATTCGGAGCGACTGTCTAATTCAGAGTGCGACTGTCTAATTCAGGGTACTTCTGTCCCTCGCCACGCGAAATAACAGAAACTTACAAAAAAAGGGACTCTACCTGCTAAACAATTGTGGATAGCCATGTGCAAGGCCTTTTAACAGCCCTTACCCAATGTAATAGTCGAGTTATTAGCGTGTTTTTGGTACCGTTCGAAAGCTTATACCTTGTAGAATAACTTAAAATAATAAAGTTGGTAGGTCATGGTGAGGATTTATCGAAAAATTTTATTTTTGTAGTTTGATATAAAAAATACATTTTGGTCAAAAAAATGAATATTATTTTTTTATTGGTGCGTTTTTTAAATCGAATTTTTATTTTTAAATAATCCTCTATTATTCCGAATCTAGAATTACTTTGTTTCACGACAGTTTAGGGAGTTTAAATGTTACACCATTTTGTTTACTACAGGGTCGCAGTAGTGGATAATAATTTTAAAAAAATCATAAAAATAATAAAATCACGTAGCTTTTTTCCATCATTATAATAAGGCATTCTCTGGTTTTGATATGAGCACTTTATAAAGACTCGCACTGTGTACCTATATTAAGTTTTAATATTGTTTATTACGTCCCTTTAAGAAAGTACGTGATGCCTTGACAATTCAAAGAAAGTTTTATTCATGGATTTTCGGTTGTTTAGTGCTTATTTATTGTATTTCAATTGTTTTTTTTTTTTTAAAGAACCCGCTTTTTAAGATAAAAGTCCTATTGTAAGGGACAAAGTACACTCAGACTAATACCAATTATTTGTAAATCACACGAAAAATTGTCCTTTGTGGGGATCAAACCACAATACTCGTTCCGTGGGCAGTTGCATGGCGGCAGCTAAACCACTCGAGCAACCGTGCAGTCAAAATCTAACCTGTATAATGCATAATAATGATGACAGTTCCTGCCCAAAAAAATCTTTTAAATAAAAATAAATAGTATAATTATATAAAATACCAAATTTGGAGGGGCAGCAAAATTGCCTTCCGCCCCGGGCGGCAGTTATATAATTCTTTCTAATTAAATAATTATGTATCGTATTATTCACATACTAAAATCTATATCTATAATGAAAAAAACTTCCAGTGTCTAATCCCATAATTATCAGTCCGTTACGAAATAGGGACAAACAGCAAAGTTACATACTTAGTTTCAGATATGTTTTTGTGGCGCTGCTGGGCTGATGTCAGTCTTGCAGCGCCACCGGTTAGATCCTGCTTACGATTAATTTCGAACTCTCTAGTTAATTTCAAACTCTTACGATTAATTAATTTCAAAAACTTTGGCTAAACAAAACTTTATTTGCAGTTGGGGGTCCATTCTATGGAACGTTTTTAAGTTTAGGAGCCCCTGAAATGAGAATTTTGTTTAGCCATGCCATTACACAAATTGCTACTTTCATTTTTATTTTGGCAGTCATTCATTAGATTTTAATGCCGTTAGTAGGTACACCAACGCAATCGCATGCGAAGCGAAACATTGCAAAATTTTGTCTGTTGTATGGCGATGTTTCGCATGCGCCTTCTCACTGTTATTAACGCGATGAAATAGCTACGTCCTAGTCAATACGGTTTCGCAGACAATCGCGAGAAAAGCCGTTTCACCGCATGTTTCGCATTCACGGTTGCCACTCATCCAAACTTTTGAAGACTCAGTTTTGTTTTTCAAAAAATGACAACCCTGTTTTCTAGTGAAATTGTGACACTTCGCAGTTTTGTAGACGTAAATTTTTTTTTTAGTATGTTAAAGCACTAATCGTATGCATCACTCTGTACCCAATGCGTAAGGTGCTAGAACTTGGTCGCTGTAGGGTAACGTAAAATACCGCATCTAGGAGTTAATGCCAATGATACCTTAGTTGCAACATAACGACCGAGTATACCTTAGTTGCAACTGACCGAAATATCAAACATTAGAAAGCTCTTGCACATTTATCTATATAATAAAGGAGATTTTTCAAAATCATAACAATTTAAAACAGTGCCTTTATGGTGAAGATAGGGTTACGAAATTAGGTACCTGAAGAATTGTAAATAAAAACACCAATATTATTGTGAATATTCCAAAGAATATAATATAACAAATTACAAAGAAAAATCAGCTACATTGATGACCAAATTTACAATATTTGGTAGGTTCAATGTAAACCAATGAGAAAATAAAGATAGATACTCGCGAGAACATAAGCCAAACCCATTTTAGATAAGGTACAAGAAAAATAATGATAATATAACTTAACCAAACTTTCTCTTCTCGTCAATGTAAAAAGTCCTTTATTACTTACTCTTCTCAAACATAGAAATGTTGATAGTTGCAAATATTTTTGTTTGTGGAACTGCACTTCCAAATATAATTACGTTACATATTGTTCTGGTAAGTTGCAATCCACTTTTTCTTTTTTCAATTTTTATTGTGTGTTTTTTTTACATCGGGACTGTTTACTGTGATTTTTTTTATATATATAATATTAATTAAAAAGCAATAAAATTGACAAGAACACAGCACTACCAATGGTTCTTGCAAAGCAATAGTGCTGGTTAAAATATCCATTTTACCAGCTTTAGGCAAAGTTTTACTCCTTTTTAGTAGCTTGCTGTTTAGCTTGGTGAGCTTGCAAGACAGCAACAGCTTCATCTACCTTAGCTTTGAGTGATTCTCCATGTTCCAACATATGTAGAAGTTCAGAATTGTCAATCTCTAAGAGCATTCCTGTTATTTTTCCAGCTAAATCGGGATGCATCCTTTGAATCAAGGGGAACAAACGTTCACCGAGCATTTGTTTTTGCTCTTGCAATGGTGCAGCAGCTAACATGGTGGCTGTAAGAGGTTCTTGACCTTGAATGTGAACAGCCGGTTGTGGAGCTGGAGGATTACGCATGTTAGCAGTATATTTATATCCAGCAGGACGGCCACTCTGGGTAACCAAAGGTGCCCTTATAGATGCTGCTGTTGCTACTCCTTGTTGTCCTGTTATAGGTCTAGCCCCAAGTGATGTTCGTAAAGCAGCCTGAGTGGGGCCTCTTGGAGCTGGACGGAATGGAGCTTGCATATTTGGATAACCCGAGGCCGCTGTTTGAGTGCTTGGTCTGACTGGAGGCTGAGCTGTCCAGCGTGGAGATGGTCTGATCTGTGTCATTTGTGCAGGCCCATAGAAACGTTGTGCTGGTGGGATGGTAGGGACAAAGTAACCACCTGCACCGCCTGGTTGGAATATTTGACCCATTTGTTGCATCCTCATACTAGCCATACGTTGCATATATTGAGAAGTCAGATGAGCTTTGCGATCCTCTTTCCGTTGAGCTAAAGCCACATAAAGTGGTTTCGTCCCAACAATTCGCCCGTTCATCTCTGTAACAGCTTTAGTGGCTTCTTCTGGTGAGGAAAAACAAACGAAACCAAAACCTTTGCTACGACCCTCTTCTAGCATCACCTGAAAATAGAAATTTATGTGAGATAAAAAATAAAACTCGATTTTATTAACTTTTTTTATACTAATAAACACTTACATACTAATACTAAGGGTCGATACAAATCTGACTAAAGATCGATATACGATGATACGCGAGGCTTATTCCGTTTATCCACCCTGAAACAGCCACCCTAAGGTGGATACTCGAAAGTCACTTTTGAATGTTCTTCCGATTTTTTACCCCAAGTACAATGGAATAAAATTGTCTACTACACAAAAGCTACGATAGAAGCTTTTGCGTAGTAGATAATTTATAAAAATCACACTTTCATTAAACAAAATAGATCATTTCATTTTTTTAAAGTTAGGTACCAAGTATCTTGGGCTGGGTTTATACGTTTTTTTTTAATGACTGTACACAGGCGAGGGATAAAATCGGGAGTAAAATTATGATGCGAATTCCTGTTATCCACCCCGTCCAGGGTAGAAAGATAAACACGCGTTTCGGAGTATCTACCTAAGGGTGGCTGTTTCAGGGTGGACAAACGGAATAAGCCGTACGAAACGGAACTTAAGTGAGATATGTACAGACTCTAAATTGCAAATATAATATAGCCTGTATGTGAAAAATGAGGTCTATTGAGACTTTAATTAAATACTAATATAGTTAATGAATATAGTGATTAAATTTGATATTTTATTTTTTGGGGTTTTTACAACATATCGTCACTTATTTTTACCATCACAGTTATATAAAATGCATTTTGGGGGAATTCAACAACGAGAGCTTGTTTAGATAGTTATTATTAGGTAGTCAAACATTTAGAAACAATGTAGTTACGCGCGTGTTCACTGAAAAGTTAGTAACTATAAAAGTAGAACAAAAAATATTTTAGTAGGCTAATTGACATTATCAGCTATTCATATAATACTTATTAGCAATCAAACCGCAAAAGTAGCGGATAGATGGCCATAATTATTGAATTGTAATCGATTTTAAAAGCGTTAACATTGAGCTCCTAGGTTAGCTTGCTTAAGTTTTATTATCGATATTTACAATTTAGATTTTAATAAACTTGGTATGTTGTTAGATAAGATATAAACAAATAATATAAATATTTTTTTCAAAGTGATAACTTTTTCTATCCAATAGAAATAGAAATTGACGGATATTTTTTTTTTATTTCATTAGAATTTGTGTTGTAGAAAGCCACTATAAAATAAAATATATTACTTTGAAAAAGTAGCCTCCAAACACTTTTTCAAATAGCTCTTTAAATAGCTACTTACTAATACAGACCTAAAATCCACATCTTTCAAGTACAATATATGCCCATCTTTCAAGTACTATATAATATGACATAGGTCATATATGTATAAGTTCCTATCAAGGGCATTTTTGTATGGATAGTCAGTTAGTCCCCTTCTTGATGAAATTTTGAAAGTTTTGATGTTCACGCATTTGTAGTTTTTACAAGCTAATTTTATCACAACATGTTGAGCACAACAATAAAAGAGAAGGTATGATTTCAGTCTTACTTGCCACTTCCTTTGATGGAAAATTAGAAAAAAAACAATCTTCTACCATTACGGAGGTGGGAGAAGATAGAGAATAGAAGAAATTTAATAATTATTATTACAAAAAAGTAATTATAAACTACTATATACACATTGTGGTAATAATTTGTGTTTAAGGGCCACACATATGTAATACAATATTGCAATTTTAACCAAAAAAATTAAAATAATTACCTTAGCTGAAGTAATTGTACCAAAAGGAGCAAATTCTTTACGGAGTCTTTCATCATCAATAGTATCATCTAGATTCTTCACGTACAAATTAACACCCTGATAACGAGTCAAACGTTCAGATTTCAACTGTTCAAATTTACGTTTAAGTTCTTTCTGACGTTCAGCTTTCTTTTGAGCACGGCCAACATACAATGGCTTGCCCTCAACAAATTCTTTGCCATTTAATTCTGAGCATGCTCTTTCTGCAGCATCAGGATCTTCAAATGCAACAAATCCAAAACCTCTGGATGCGCCATCTTCTTTATACATGACTTTGTGGCTTGTTATTCGGCCATATTTCTCAAACATATCTTTGAGCATTTCATCAGAGAAGTCTTCTCCAAAATTTTTCACATAAACATTAGTGAATAGTTTTGCTTTCTCACCAAGTTCCTTTTCGCGTTCCTTACGAGGAATGAATCTGCCAACATAAACTTTCTTACCATTCAACAACATTCCATTTACTTTCTCAATTGATTTATTTGCAGCTTCTTCAGTCTCAAAATGAACAAATCCGTAACCTTTAGAGGCACCAGTCTCATCTTGAGCAACTTTACAACTCAAAATGTTTCCAAAAGCAGTAAAGGTATCATACATAGCCTTGTTGTCAATGGTTTTGTCAAGATTTTTAATGAATACATTTCCTACTCCAGATTTACGTAGAGAAGGATCACGTTGGGACCACATGATTCTAATAGGTCTTCCTTTAATCATGTCAAAATTCATAGTGTCCAAAGCTCTTTCAGCTGTAAAAGAATTATTAAAATAAATAAAAACGATGGCGAAAGGAAAGTATTACAAATACCCAACTACATATTAATACGAAATTTGTTTAGTTAGCATAAATAAATAAAAAATGTGGCTATTTATTAAGATGATTAAGTTTGTCAGATAGTTTCTAAAATTTCACAAAATTGCATATATATATATTTTAACCTAAAACGACACTAGGTACTTTTATGGAAAATCCTCAGTGGCAGTGGAAGAGAACTGTGGTGTTATTCTACTATGAATGATCTTTTTCCCCACTATCATAGTGTGAAATGTAATATTGCTTTTTAAAAGAAAATATTTTTAGACACTTTCTTATAGATTCTGTTATTTATTTAGGCGCTTTTGCCATCATACATAGCAACTATTATCAAGACTGCCTCTCTCCATTTTGTAAAAATAAATAATAAATAGATAAGCCCTTTATCAATTAACTTTCAACAACTAGCAATTAAGCCGCATTTACATTACGCAATAGACTAATTGCATAATGTACGAAATTAAAAACAAGTTTCATAAACTAATTTCGGCACATGTGAAACTAGTTTCTTAATAGCGTGCAATTAACAGTAGATATCTATACTGGTACCCTTAACATCGAATATTATTATTATGCGCAGATGGTGTCCCGAAACTAGTTAATTAATATTGTGGTGAAATTAGTTGCATAAAGGTACTTTCATCAAAAATATGCTCATCGCAATAAAATATTCTATTATATTCACAACACAGATATCTACACTGGCACTGTTAAAATAGAATTATTATTATTTGCAGATGGTGTCGCGACACTAAGTTTATTAATGTGAGATGAAATTATTTGCGTTAAAGTATCAATTAAAGTGAATGTTTACATGCAAGTGCTTAAATCTAAAATATATAAAGTTAATATAATAAAAGTAGTTTCATAATACCAACTACTTTCGTAATGTAAATCCAGATTTATTCAAAAAACATAGGAACATGAATAAATTCATAATATTTGTTCCAAATGTCTTTTTTATTCTCGCTATCCTGCAGAGGGACTCTGTAAAAATCCGAATTTGAATTCACTCATTCGCATCATTTAGTGAAGATATTCTATTGACTCCATTATTTTTTTTAAAACACAAAACCTAATTGATTATACGTATCTCAGCTATTTTTGTGTCATTTCGAAACTGAGTGAAGTACACTTATACCACAAAACGTTATTAAAAATTCAAGTTTGAGTGGATGCCACTTCCTTAATGAATTCTGACAACCTGAGTGAATTCAATCCTGAGTGAACAGCAGGGATGACCGGACAATTAAAGGTAAACATGTGTGAAATCACAGTTTCATACCAAGAATTATATAATTGTAATAAAGCAAATCTAAATTCAGGTTCAAATTATTATGGAATTGCTCTGCTGGTTTGGAATAATCAATAATAATAAATTTCATTATACTATTACAAGTTATCTTCTTCAGAAAATGCTTTAGGATACTAATCATAAGACTAATTATGAAAAAAATACCTTGAGGGTATGTGCAAATATTAAGGCTATGATCTAAAATCCTTTGTGATTACGTAAATTATAGTTTTATGTTGTTGCTAGTAGTGAATATTCCATGATAAATATTAATAATACAAATATATATCTTAATATTTCCCTGCATACCTACTAACCCATTAAGTTTAAATAAAGCTCCATACATTATTCTGACAGCAGAAGACACAATAAACTTCAACTATTAAATGATTGATTTTCCCCATAAGATAGCACATTGATTTATATGTAGGTAGAATAACATTAGACTTGAAATATTCACTGTATGTAATTATATTTTTATATAAAAGCAAGAGAAAATATAGAATTTCAATTATAATTATCACATGAGAATAGCTAGTCTCAACCCTTAGCCTGCTGGACTTTGTCAATTGGCCTATTTAGTTACAAATTTCTAGCCAGCCAAATCTATATATATTTATGAATAAGTGTTATGACTTTATTTGTCATTAATAAGCAGGTAGTAGATGACCAAAGAAATTATTAAAATTTATAATGTGACTTGGTTAAATATACATTAAGTTATTGGCATTGACAAATATGCTCTGTGCAATTGAAAAAACACCATGCAAATAATTTTTATTTGTGGCCCAAAACACTATTTTTTTGAGGTCCTAATAAAAAAAAAGGTGGTTATGGCTGCTTTTATAGGTATTTTTCCAAAGTATTTAACAAATTTTCTTTGTCTATTTGAAAACAATAAATTTGCAAACTGCTGAACAAACAGTTATCACTGTTCCAGAAAAGTCACTTAGCAATCTGGAAATTGCACACAAGGAAGATATATCCCGAGTAATTCAATATGGTTTGTCTAACTAACTAAAGTTTTTTATGATTGGCAAAATCACGTGTAAATACCACATGCCAATTTATGGTGAGACTCAAGTGTTATAAAATGAAATAGTATACAAAAAGCTGATACATTATGACAGAAAATAACCGAATCAAAATCGTAGTTGTGGCATACAATGATATTTCAATTTCGATTAGTTTGCTAAAGTACCAACCATATGGTTCACAGATTGCATATATAAATACTAATGTAATAGATTATTACAAATAACAATAAAGTAATCCAAGCTTCTTATTACGAATCATATGTTTAAAATATTAAAATTATGAGGGTAAAACTAATTTTATCAAAAAAAATATGACCTTGAAAAATTAAATTACTTACCATCTGCAGGTTGCTGAAAGTTTACATAAGCGTAGCCTAGGGATCTACGAGTTATCATATCACGACAAACCCGAATTGAGAGTACAGGGCCCGCGGTTGAAAATTTTTCAAACAACATGGCCTCTGTAATATCGGAATGCAAATCTCCGACATACAGAGAGGCCATAGGATAACTAGGTGGACCAGGATTCATTATGCTTCCTTCAAATTTGCTGTTTTAGGTAGAACATTAAAATTTGTCGATAGCACAGAAAAACTTCACTTTCTCTTTATAATGACTATCGCATTCCTTAAGACCACGTTGCACGCTTACGTACACTAACTTAAAATCGAGTGAATCCCGTTTCTTTTTTGTATTTTTCTATTTTTTTGTTATTTTATGTATTTTATGATTTTTTTTTTATATTTTACAACACTATTTCACGAAATTATGAGGATTGTGTGACCTATAATCGAGGGAACACACAACCTCACGTGAACACACCTCGCTCACCAAAGGAAAGGTGACGTTTGTGGTTGTTGGAAGTTGATTGCAAGTAAATTTAAAATGGCGTCTGTGTCTTAATCATAGAGAAATGTAGACCTAGGACCAATGAGCAAAAGAATAAACGCATACTCGTGACAGTAATTTTAAATCAAGAAGCTATTTAATTAACTGGAATGATTACATGCACCGCTCTCAGAATAAGGATTAGGCAAAGAAAATCTTTCATCGGTGAGTTATGTTTGGGTTCGACTTTATTGAAATAAGTGAATTTCCTAAAACTTTGATAATATACTATAGTATGTGTAAGTAGTCTTCAGGTCAATAATTTGGGGATTTTTCATTATTTATCAGAAGTTTTGTTTACGTCATAGGTTTTATGTTTTTTCGTATAATAATGTGTGTTTCTATATCGATAACACAATTTTATTATATTATACTATCATAATGATAGGGATTAGGGACACCAAGTAGAAAGCAATCCTACAAGATACATATTATGTTTGATAATTTATTAGCATTAACATAATAATATTTGTTATCTATACTAATAGTATATATCTTCAGAAATACTGACACGGATAAAAACATTCTTTCACCTATGGAAAGCATATATCCTATTAGGGTGACATAAGCTATAATTTACGAGCGGGAAGTCGGGAAAAGGGTTGTTACATATGTACATATATAATAAATGAAAGATTTATTTCTAGTTTCATATTAATGACAATTATTTTACGGATTAAAATACTACACTATTGATACTGACACAACCTTTATTTTGCTACAGATTTCCGAAAATTGAAGTTTTCAAACAACAGTGGTTGCAGCGTTTAAGTTTAAAACGACTAATTTGAAACGAAAATTTGAAATGGTGAACACTAAAATGAAATGAAACGAAACAAAAAGGAAGATCGCCGTCGAACATAATAACTTCCTATATAAAGTGCTTTTATAAAATCGGCAGTAAAATGGTTTTTATGTACATATATTATTTATGTTATTGACATTACATGTGGTTGAATGAAATCAATTGACGTATTAAAAAAAATGAAAGCACTAAAAAAGCACCTCCACTAGATGGCGACTCTAGGAAGAGTTGATTTTTGCAGAAAACGAATGTACCAAAGACAATCATTGCCGTTTCTTTTAACTGAAATATTAAAAAATGAAAAGTTCGAAATTAAGATATCAATACAAATACGAAAAAGTACAAATAGAATATGAGTTGTTTATTAGTTTTGAAAACTAATTTACTTTTAAATTTACACGGAGAAAATCGGGAACTAAATTTTTTTTTTTTAAATACTTCCTCCAGTGGCGTAGCTACTAAGGGGCTAGGTGGGGCAGTGCCCCGGGGCCCTCAAGCTCAGGGGGCCCTCGAATCTTTACCAGAAAATCCCAATCGAACTCAAGTTTTGAAAATTTCTCCCATCTTCAAAATAAAAATGACAGGTGTCAACTCGAGTTTAATCATGGAAACTCAGTTGTGAGTAATTCCAAAGTTATAATTAGGTACCCTCCTTTGCGTCGCGCAGTCGGGTAAAAAGGGAATTCCCGTAAATTATTTGTGTGGGTTGACAGTGTTATTAATGTTTTCATCAATTTGTTGGATATCAATATCTGCATATTATTATTTATCGATATGCGTTTTTGTGATTCGCGATTGTGAACTTCGAGTCAAGATTTTTTTTCGAGAATGGTTAAAAAGTTATTGTATCAGGAGTAAGTAAGCGTATGTCAATTTTTTGTACTGGTGGTAGTACAAAACTTCAATTTTATTTGATTGTAGCCCGTCAAACCGTCAAATGTGGTAACACTGGCGGCGATAAAGTGTTTGCCGGGGATTCCCCAACGACGCCTTGTATCGTATCATTTTCATTCATTCACGTTTCGCTTTCCTTTTACTAGTAACGTTGTCAGTGAACAGTGAGTACCTACTTGAGTACAATCTTACATAAATATTGCATAAATAAATTAAAAAACTTATATTATGGACAAAAGAAAAAGAAACCCGGTGGTGCATTTAAACGCAAACAACGCCAAGAAAGAGGAGAAAGTAAACAAAAATTGCCCAAAATTGACAAGTTTTTTAGTCAGCCTTCTGCAAGTACTTCTGGATCAAATATTTCTATTGATAATTTTTGTAAATAACTTGCATGGCGATAGGTTAAATAACAGTAAGCTGGTGCAACGTATCTATGATTAAATAAATATATAGAGTTTGGCAAGCGAAACGTGACACCACCTATTTTTCCGTTTTCATATGGCAACAACATAGAACTGTCAGTTTGACACTACGTTAGACAATTCAAGAATATTGAATTTTGTTGTTTTTGCGAATTTGAACTTGTGTTTTTGGTTAAAAATTATGTCGAAGCCGATAAAAAGTTCATCGAGGAAACTTCTTTCCATCATGATTGACAAGTTTACTGAAGTGAAAACTGAATTAAATAAAAATTTCATGGAGAAATTACAACGATTAGATAAAGTTGTATCTTTTTTAGGTTAGTTTTGTATTATAATTTTGATACTTTCGTTTTAATTTTCTGTAATTAACTAAACAGATATTTTTTATAAAATATTGCTCTATTTCAGATAACTGTGATGGTGATATTCAACCAATAATGGAGGAGATAAATGCAATAAAAACTTTAGAAAAACAAGAAATGCTGAATTCGAAAACGCAGTACTTACAAAAAATTTCTTCAATGACAGGTCTCTTTTCTTGTTTTGATTTAAGATAGATTGATAGTATTCCTATAATATTTACATAGGTTTTTTATGATGTATTGGTTTTTATTGTTGACATCCAATGATGTCATAAGAATGTTTTGTTTAACAAGGAAATTCACAGAATTCATGAAACTAATCAAACCATGTAATTGTTATACATGCTAAATATGCACATAAACTTAACTAAATTAAACATAAATTGCATTCATAGTTGAATAGGTATTTAAATTATTTTGATGTATGTGTCTATCATTATTTGCTTTTAAATACATTTAACATATCTTTGTTTCAAAGTGTTTAATCTTTTATAGATGTAAGTATAAGGACACTAAGAAGGATAAAAAATGAAGCATTAATTAATAAAGGAAAATGGGACACTCCTGGGAAAAAACGACCTCATCAACCAACAGTGTCTGCTTTAGATAATTTTGATTTAAGTGCAATTCGGAATAAAGTAAATGAATTTTACTGTGTGAAAAAAGTTGTTCCAACATTAAGAAGCCTTCACAATGAATTAAAAGATGCAATAGGATTCAGTGGTAGCCGTGAGACTTTACGAAAAATTATGCTTAAGAATGGATTTTCTTTTAAAAGCAATGAAAATGAACGTTCTATGCTTATAGAAAAATACCAGATTTCTGCATGGAGGCACAAGTATTTGAGAGAAATAAATATAAAACGAAACGAAGGAAAGCAAATTGTGTACCTTGATGAAACTTATGTACATCAGAATTATAAAGTTAAAAAGTCTTGGCAAGGACCTTCAACAACTGGTGTCACTACAAAGATATCCTCTGGAAAACGGCATATTGTTGTGCATGCTGGATCTGAGGAAGGTTTTGTGCCTGGTGCATTATTAGTGTTCAGTAGTAAATCCAAATCTGCTGATTATCATGATGATATGAACTCATCGAACTTTATGAAATGGGTCAGAGAAAAATTAATACCAAATTTAAGTAAGCCCAGTGTAATTGTTATGGATAATGCCAGCTACCATATAAAACAAATCAATAAACCGCCTATAATGTCTAATACCAAAGCAGATATCCGTAAATGGCTTGTAAATAATGGAATACATTTTGAGGAATATCAGACAAAGGCAGAGTTAATGTGTTTGGTTAATGATAAGAAAACATTGCCTGTATATGAAGCTGAAGAGATTTTAAAAGAACATAATCATGAACTTTTATTGCTGCCACCGTATCATTGTGACTTAAACCCAATAGAGATGGTTTGGAGTCAAGCAAAAAGAAAAATTGCAAGCAGAAACATTGGAATACCAGGAAAGGAAATGGAAAACTTAATAATAGAGTGTTTTAACTTAATTACCCCTAGTGACTGGAAGAAATACACTGATCATGTTTTAAATGTCGAAAATGATTACAAATTAAAAGATGGCATTGTTGAAAACGAACTTGAAAAATTTATTATATCTGTTGGTGCAGACAGTAGTGAAGAGAGTGACTCTGATGATTCCTTGTCATTGTTATCAGGTGTAGAATATTTAGAAACAGATTTTGACTATGAATCAGACTAAAGTATTTTTAGTCTGATTCATAGTCAAAATCTTATCTTAAATTTTCTATTGTGATTAACATGATGATTTTGTGACACCTGTATTATGTAATTTATCCATGGCACTTAATTGTAACAAAAATAAATGTTTTTTTTATTGTAATCTGGTGTTTATATTGACTAATTTAATTTGATAGATAGTGGTTCTGGATCAGAGCAAAAGGTTGTGATGAAAATCCCTTAGGAGACATGTATGTGTTATGAACACATTATAAATATAAGGGCCAGAAATCAAAATTGGCTAACATCACATTTATTAAAAAAATGTGGCCAGAGTCGCCCATATTCATTACAAAAAAACAAAGAAGTCGTTGCAAAAAACACCCTTTTAATTAATGACAAATATGAATTTTTAATATTATAAGTGCTGTTAGCCAATAGGTATAACGAATGGGTTAAAAAAAAGATTCGATTTAGTCCGTCAGTCAGATAATAGAAAAATATTGGATACGTATTTTTTTTCGCTTTAATTTAACAACAAATGGCTTAAGAGGTACTATGCGACGACTTCAAATATGCTTTGCAACAATGTTACTTTAATACAGTTTATCGATACGAAATCAAGTGTCAAAATGGAGTCCAGTGGAGAATGCCGATATTGACATTTCGAAATTGCTCATCATTGATAGAGAATACGAAATAGTGATTTTGACACAATCAAAGTGTCTATTTTTTACGGTGATGACGATTCTTGGTTGTCAGTTGAGTTA